ATTATTTCCTTAAAACTCCTACCTTTCCCACATTACTTAATTGGAACTGAATTGCATTTAGGGGTCCAGTTGAGGGTTAGAAAATCCTATGTCTATCCCCTGGGTGTCCGCATTATGTAAGATATTTTTATTTTTTAATTTAAGCTCTTGCCGCGGAAGTGAATTGCCTGGTATTTACAATTGGTAATTTCTAATATCTCCTAATAAACGGATGATCATACATGAAGTCAAATAGATTGGATACCTGTCCGGCCATCTGGGGGCGAACTGACTGCTAGAACTCCCACAATTAATGTTGTTTTTGGTACAGCTATGATAAGGCCTAATATAACCGGCCTCGATGATGACGTGGATTATACCTATTCACGCGGGACGATTTGCGACAACATATCTTAAGAGCTCGACGCATTCGCTCCTCCGATAATGAAGACTGACTAGCCATAATCTACAAATTACTTCCACTTCTTGATGAACTGTGTCAGGCCATGGTTTGGTATTGATCCTATCTTCGACGCCTTCAGGTGAACTAGATTGAGGGCAACAACATTAAGTTCACGAAGTGGCCAACGAATACTGTGCCTAAAGCGCTTTAAGCGTCTTTATTAGAGGAAGTGATCTATCCTAATGTAGCAGCGAGCGTGGGATATTTCATTTGGGACCAAATGGATGTACTTCCATTGAAGGATAATCCTTAGGTAACGCTGGCCACACATCTCCATTTCTGGATCAGCTCCCACGCACACAAACAAAAAGGAGGACTGACCTGACGGGTATATGATACACCTGCTTTTCGTGGCAATGGAGAAATTGACAAATTTTGCGACTTAATCCATTTGCATCATCAAGAACTGTAGATAATCAAAGCTTGAGGTGAGTAGGACGATATCGTAAGCGCAGTCAAGGTGAGACAGCCTGCGTCCAGGTGCAAACACAATACCGTCGAAACTGCGTAGGGCCCTCTCGAAAACCCCTTCGATATCGTAGTTGAAGAGGATACAACCTTTTCGAACACGAGATTGAACGTATAGCAGTTGGAAAAGATTTTTATGGACTATTATTTGCTTGCTGCTGGAGTGATAGTAGGTCCTAATTGTGCCAATGATTAATTTTGCGGACACGCCGCTTAGTTACATTATCCACTACACGGACTCCTGTCTGACTGAGTCGAATGCAACGGCGAGGTCAAAAAAACAGTCGATCGTTAGTTGCCGGTAGCCGTGATGGAATTCAAGAACGCATCTCGATGTGAATATTTAGTGCGCGCATCCACGTTCAGTTCAAAACCCGGCTTCCGTTGATCGCATCTTCAAGTTGCGAAGGCCTTTGCAACAACGTCGGTTAGGCTTTTGCCATGATAATACTCAGACTCTGTCTTTTCTCCATTCTTAAAGACAAGCGCAAGGACACCCTAACCTTGACATTGACAATTACTTTATCTCTCCACGCTTGCTCAACCATTTCACGGAACCAGGGCGCCAGACTGTCGACAAAAGCCATAGCTTCCAGCCGGAGTACCGTCCTCTCTGCACGCATTATTGTTGTGCAGCCTCTGCATTGCATCGGCAACTTCTCCTTCATAATAGGAGCCGCACGACGCTGCGGAGGAGGACCGGAGTGTGATTGGTTGCTTATCAAACTGCTGGAACTACTTACACCAGCGATCGACCTTAGTCGAGCTGTCAGTACTAAAGCCGTCATTCATATCGCGAACATTCCGTAAGTGCGGAGGGCTTACTAGTAACTCGGTGGATAATTTGGTAGGGCTTTCGAGTGTCACTAACATTTGAGGCCTGGTCCACAGACGTCGGTGGTTCGGACTAGTATTTCTGCCAGTCATTCCTAGCTGACTTTGCTGTCATCTTCCGGATTTGGCGGAAGGAAGCATAGTTGCGGGATCTCGCTCGAGCCGCCCGGGTAAACAACTGTAGGGTTTTCCGCTATTCCAGTCACTGCGGCATTGCTGAGTGGATCCAAAAAAATTCTCAGCTGCCCCTTTCAGCACCACGAAACTGTCTGCTATCTTGAACCAATCTGCGGAATCTTGAACTGGCTAGGATGCAGTCGATTTTACTGGCCGTATGACTGTCTTTTGGATACCAGATTACTAGCTGTTTAGGACCATACTGGAAGGTCATGTTTGTGACAAATAGTGGCTTCCGCTTAATAAATTTCAGCATTCTCTCACCATTGTCGCACTGAGAGCCAAAATAAAACCGACTAACAAGTGGATTGTTGAAAGATTTGCCAGGTTCATTCGGCCCATTCTAGTTCCCGGGTAAAAATAAGAGGATTTCTGTTTCAGCTGCGAGAAGAAAGTTTATTAATCAAGCTGGTAAGCAACATATATTGGTGGGCACACGGGAGCAACAGAGATGTTGGTAAAGTTTTGTGTGCAAGACATTCGGTCATTAAGTTGTCCCTACTCAAGTAGCATCCAGTTCGCTTGTTACAAGGCGATCGTTACACCGTGTCTACCAAAAGTGTCGCATGAGCGAAGTTGGACTTCACTTCCAGCATCTGTATTTTCCGATATCCACGCTGAAGATTGCGTGCCGTCAGACTGCGTAATGGGATCCAGGGACATTCGCACGTTCTAGCGCCCAATAAGAAAAGTGCAGTCCTGAATCAAAGTTAAAATGACATGTGAATCGCATACACCAATGTCTGCAGAGTCCATCCGTTCCCACGGACACAGTAATTCTTGAGTCGATTAAATTTCAGGGGTTGCTTTCGAGTCTTGCGTATGCGGGGACTCATAACAACCGCTCGGATGCTTTGTTTGAAGTTGTCCCCTCTAGCCTTTTAGTTCAAGAACTTAACTACAAGACAACGATAGCAAGCGAGCTCATTTAATGGCGGTTCATGGTCACTATGTCACAGTGCCTTCGTAGAACTTTGTTATGTGTTCCAGGGTACTTGTACTTATTACAGCTGTGATCATGCCTGATCTAGCCGGCCTCAATGATGTCACGAACGG